CCTGCTTTAGTTTAGAACCTGCACAGTTTGTATACGCGCTTTGTGGTTTGGGTCAGGTTTTTATTTGATTTTGTAATGTTAATGGAGACTAAGGGATGGGGATCTCTGCTAGCCTGCTGTCATTATGATTTAGCACCCACGACAATCCGCTTATAAAGAGAAAAGTTATTTGGGCTCACGGCTGGAAGTTCTGGTCCATGACTAGCTGGCTGCATTACCTTTGTGGCCTGTCGTGAAATTAAACTGCTAGGGCAGTCAAACCAGAAGCAAGTAGAGGAGTCCGTTCGTCCCCCAGTCTCCAAAGCTGCCACTAAGCTGCACCCATCAGCCTGTTCCTCTGTGCCTCCAGTGCCTAGGGCAGTGTAAGCAGAAGTGTTGAGACTTCTGCTGTGTTAACCTAAGTAAATTATTGTATTCTCAGATCATTTCCAACATGGAGAAGAAACGGCAACGTTTGATTGAAGTCCAGGATGAACTGCTTCAGTAAGATAATATGCCACTCCTGCTAAGAACTCACCTAAAGGGCAGTAGTTTGTCACTTACGGGAGTGCTGCTTGCTGCTGTGACCCACGACAAGCCCCAGGTTTCCTTTGCACTTGATCAATAGCAGCAACTTGTGGTGCCCCATAGCAGAGCCTTAGAAAGACAGTCAACATGTATCAGTCTCCCAGCATGCCTGGTCTGGCCTCAGGCAACCTGATCATGGATTTAATGAGTATGCTCTAGGATTAGACTGCCTGGAACTTGAATCAGGCTCTACCACTGACTGCAGACTTGGGTGAGGTACTGACTTTCCCAGTGCCTCAGGCCCCTCTTGAGTTGTGTGTATGGGTGTAATTGTGTTGTTCCTCAGAAGGTGTTGTGGGAGGCAGTGAGTAAGCTTAGGACGGGTTCTCTGCAGTGACTCATGCAGATAGTTCTGCTTATGTTGTTTGCTTGCTTGTTTGAGTTTTTGACACATGATCTTGCTGTGTAACCCTGGCTGGTCACTGGCTCTTAGTTACTGTTTAGATATACACCCTACAGTGACACTCATGTCAGTCCACTTTCTGAGGTCTAGGGTTGGGTGGTCCCCATGCATTGGTTAGGAACACTAGTACACACATGAGTCTGGCAGCCGGTCTGTACATTTTGGCCTTCTGAGTTGCTGTGTGAGGCAGAGGCTTAAGTGAAGCAGGGCTGACTGTGCTCTCCACTCTTAAGATACTTTAAAAGAGCTTGGACAGGCTGAGGATGTGGCTAAGTGGTAGAGCACCTGCCTAGCGTGAGCAAGGCCGTGGGTTCAATTCCTAGGACCACATGGGTGTGGTACCAGGAAGCTTGAGCAGAAAGGAGGTATGTTATCTCAGCAAAACTTGAAATAGTATTTAAATATTAGGTTTTAAAGTGACCGACACGGGATTTTGAGAAAGACAAATTAGATGTCTATTCCATTGTTTATAGATTTAGTCTATGGGAGGCACTAGAAAATGTGTTCTGGCCAAAACATGGAAAATTTGGGTAATGTAGTAATAATAATGATGATGGTAACAGTTCACAGCTTCCTTTATGACAAGGACACTTTCCTAAATGCTTCATTCATTTGACCCATTCTTAGCCAATATGATTCCAGGAAGTAGGTTTTTGTATGGTCCTTTAATAAGGCTCTGTTTTGTTACACTTGGCATCAAAGTAAGCCTGTTGAGATGTATTAAGACTGGCCCCTTTAGTTTCTCCTCTAGATGTAATTATAGTAAGACAAACATTTCAAAAAGGCTTAGTAAGGAAAAGTACTTATAGTTTTAATTTCACATATGAGAAGGCTAAGGCACAGAGGAGTCACTTCACTCCAGCCGGCCCCACCATTAGGAAAGACAGGGAATGCACCTCTGACCCCCACCACCACTTCAGTCTAGAGTTTGCTGAAGAAATGTTGCAAATGTTCAGTGTGAAGACCCCTTTTATAATTTTTCATGTTTTTTCCCCATCACAGTCTCCCCTCTCTCATCTCCCAGATCCTCCCCAAGTCCCCACAAATCCAAAACCTATTTCTTTCTCTCTTTAGGAAAACAAGTAGATAAATAAAAACAAACAAGAGAGAGAGAAAACAAAGAAAAAGCACAAGAAACGTACACTATTCTTACACTTGAGAATAGTTGTTTTTATATCTTTATTTGCAAGATGAAGCTGGCAGTCCTTCTTCCTCCCCCACCATAAGTCACAAGGTATTCCTTTTCTTTAGAGGTGAAGAAACCCAGCCCCAGAGAAGCGGTGGTTGGCCCAAGGTTGTACATCTTTCTATCCAGGCCCTGTGACAGTTTTTCTGCTGATTTTATTTGGCCTTACAAGCTGGAGGAAATTTTAATAAGACGAACTTTCTGCATGGCCTCCTAGTTAAACTGTCATACCAGCTACTCCTGCTGTTAGCCAGATGCATGTTTAATCCTGTAATTCCCAGGGCTTGAATGACAGGTGAACTTCAGCATCTGTGAGCCATGTTCACCATGGCTGTCACTGCTAATTGTGTATCATAGTTGAGATGAATGGAAACGTAGAATCTTTTACATTCATAATCTGAGAGGCAAGCATAGGTCACCTAGCCCACCCTTGACTTTTCCTTCGTCACCCAAGATGCTCAGGCACTGTAGACTGCTGGACTTTATTATATGGGAGAAAATGTTTGTTATTTTTGGTTTGGGTTTCTGTTCTTTCTTTATAGTATGGGCATTTTAATATTTTCAGTCCATGAACAATGCATATATGTCTATTAATTTGTGTTTTACACATTTTTTTTAAGATTTAATTTTTTTTTGTCTAGATTAGAACCACAACTGAAACAACTACAAACAAAATATGACCACCTTACGGAGAGAAAGTCGTCACTTAAGAATTCCACAAATTTCTTATCTAATTTAAAACAGCTGTATCAAGACTATTCAGAAGTTCAAGAGAAAGAACCAAAGGAAAAGGAGAAGGTGAGTCCCGCTCACCTTACTGTGCAGCAGAAGATGTAGACATTCGCTTGTAGAGTGCCAGTAGCTTTGAGAAAGCTAATGAATAGCATTAGTGAGATCACAGCATCAGTTTTTAGCTACTGAATAAAGAGAAGCATCATGCTACTCCTGAGTTCTCCCTCAGAGAACTGCACTTGGGGGTGGTGTATATTGTGCAGGACTCTGCTTTATTGGTTCTCATCAGTACTCAGGGGTATTGTTCATGCTTTTGTAGCTGTTTCACAGGTAGGTGTGGCTTGAGAGCTTGAGAAACAGTTGGGAAATTATAGCTTTCTATTATTTTTTTAAATAATTTTTTTTATTTAAAGATTTCATTTATTATGTAAAGAACATTCTGTTCCATGTATATCTGCACATCAGAAGAGGGCACCAGATCTCGTAATGGATGGTTGTGAGCCACCATGTGATTGCTGGGAATTGAACTCAGGACCTCCGGAAGAGCAGTTGGTGCTCTTAACCTCTGAGCCATCTCTCCAGCCCAGCTTTCTATTATTTTAATACACTTTGAAGTAGCTCCTGGGACTTTGCTATTGCTATGACACCCAATTAAGAGAAATGTTGGCTAAAATATTGTAAGTTTGCATACCTAGTAGAACTAGAAAAATATGACTATATTAATAGAATTGTGTATAGAAAGTTATCACACAATGTCTTTGTGCATCTAATGATCAAGTTTGTATTCTTCACCTCTAAATTCAACTTTAAGATCTGGCATTGATCCAAGTTTTCCTAAGCTGAAGATTTGTTCATATGTTAGAACTATAAAACTATGTTTTTAAAATGTACAGAAAGTTTATTTTAGGGTTTTAATTACTAATCTATACACAGCCCTCGGTTAATCACTCTTTGTGCACATGGTAGGCAAATGTTCTCCCTGATCTACCCCAAGGCTTGAAACCCAAGCTTCAGTAACTATAGAATATACTGCTCTCACAAACGAGGTTGTATACCTTCAGTGCCCGTTGTACTGTTACTGTTGGGCACCTGTCCTTTTTTACCTGTGACACCTAGATTGTCACACGTCTTCCTAAATGAAACCCATAGCTCCAAGTGAATTCTTCCCACTCCTTAGAGAGCAGGTGCTTGAGGTGTCTTGTTTGTAGGCGATTTTACATGTGTTTGGTTGAATTCTCCATTAACATGGTTTCTGTGTGGCAGAAAACAAATCCCATTGTTTTGAGGGGTCACCACTGTCCAGCAGCATTTCTGCTCAGTTTTCATCACTGAGAAAAATACCTTGGAAACATATTTATCAGCAAGCTGCCAAAAGTATGGTAAATTATTTAAGGGGAACTTAATTTCCCTCAGATAGTTTGCAACAGGAAGTTTGGCTTCATTAATTATTCCCAGGTCATGAGTTGGATTTAGAATTTTAACTTTGTCTTACATTTGGATTGGCAACCTTTAAGGCTTAATTGATCCAATAAGTAACTTTCCTAAATGATACCTTTGAGATTATTTTGCTATAGACTTTAACAGGCCAGTTGTTCTCATTCCATTAGTTCTTGCAGTAAAAGGAAACTTGCTCTAGACATTTGTTTTAAAATAGATGAGATCAAGTAGACCCCACATACCACTCACACACTTGCCATTTTTAGTCATGCAGATGCCACAGTTCTTTGAGCCACCTGGGGTACAGAGATCTATCTGCTCCAGCTTAGTTGAGCGGTTCTATACAACCTTATATTCTGAGAAGATGGGATGGGCTTAAAACATGGTTTCCTAATGGTCCTAATTAAACAAAAGGAATGAGCTGGTAGAAAACTATCACTATTTGTGAGTCTAAATAGTTTTTTCCATCAACAGTATGACTCATCTAGCCTTCCAGCTCTATTGTTTGAAGCAAGAACGGTTCTGGGAGCCAAAAAACACCTGAAAACCATCAACTATCAGCTGGGGAAGCTCCTTGAGCAGGAATGAGAAGACCAGAAGCTGAGTCAGCCTCCTGCTGCCATCTCTCCTGAAGCTGCACTCTTGACAACCAAACTTCCATTATGAGAATAAGCATGGCCTACTCAGCAGAATTTATTACCATTTTTGTCATTCAGACTAGATAACACCAGTTCAACTGTCCAACCATATCAGAAGCCATAGTTATAGTTAACAAATTTCAATCTCTTGATATGTTAGTTGTCAGAAGGCATAAGAGTTCTAACCTACAATAAACCTTGTAAATGATATCATTGCAAGCATAGGATAATTTTGGTTAATTAGGAGCATCTACTGAACTATGTCAAAGTTAATCTTCAATAGAACTGGTTCAGGTAAGGAGCAAATTATTAAACTAAGTGATAAAACAGTTACTATAAATAGGTCCAATAATAAGTTAATAGAATTTGGTTTGTTACAGTGCTGGGAATTAAATGCAGGGCCCTACACATGATAGGTAAGTATTCTACCCTTGGGCTATAGCCCCAGCCCTAATTTAACATTTATGTCCTAAACCTCAGGCTTCAGGCAAATGGTAGCCTCATTATGTAAGTCCTGTCCACAGTTAGCTGCTCTGTAATGCTTCTATAATTAGTTCGTCAGGAATATCGTCCATTGCACTCTTGTAACCAAGAAGACTCCTGTCTGCAGCATCAGCGAATTCAGCATCTTCTGTAGCTTCTAAGAAGCAGGCATCATCTTGGTCATCCCAGCCAGCATCAGAAAAGCTGTCTGGTAACAGATTACTTGATGGTGGGTTTTGAGAATTCTTAGTCAGTGAGTTGCTGGTTTCACCTACTTCATCAGGAGTGAACTCCTCCTTTATTTTGATGAGAAAGAGGATAGAGAAATAAAGATTAGTCAGAGTATGTACTTCACTACACACTCCAAATATGTTAAGGGATGATGGAATAACCATGGGGAAGGGTAAGTTAGCTCAGATGTGGTTGTTTTTGTAGTGCAGACATACTTGAAACCCTGGGCTGAAACTTCTGCAGTTCATGGCAGATACATTTCAGTATTAGCAAAGGTAGACGTAAATTCCTAAAAGGAAGATAAGTTGGCTGGAGAAACGCTCGGAAATATTGTTCTTTCTGTTTTTTTATTTTTATGATACAGGGTTTCCATGTAACAACCTTGGCTGTACTGGAACTCTGTAGACCAGGTTGGTCTCGAACTCACAAAGATCTGCCCAGCTCTGCCTCCCAAGTGCTGGGATTAAAGGTGTGTGCCACTGCTGACTAACAAAAATATATTCCTAAATTAACAACAATCACTCCTATGTAAAAAAGCCAGGCTTGAAATCCCAGTGCTGGGGAGGTAGAGAGAGATGGATCCCTGGAGGTTGGTGGCCATCCAGCCTCTAGCCAAGCCTGGAGGGTGAATACCAGCCCAGTGAGAAGCTGTCTCAAAAGAAAAAAAAGACTTCTGAGGAAAGATACCCCAAATTGTCCTTCTGGCCTGTATGTGTATGCTAATGCACACATATGAGCACACACAAATTCATATATTAAAAAGAGAAAAATAAACAAGGGAGAAATGGCAATGTTCACTTGAAAGGCACTATTTCTTTATGTTATGTTCAAATAATGATATTGTACACCAAGAATACTTTCATTTGGCATTTTTGATGTATTAGAAAACAAATTCCACCAAAATAAATCACTAGCTGGGAATGTAGCTCAGAGGAGAGCACTTGTTTCCCATGGATGAGGCCTCATGTTCAATTCCCAGCACTGCAAAAAAAAGAAACCATTCAAACACTGTTCCTGGCTATTTCTATCACTTTTAAACCTAGCAGTCTGCTTGCCAGAGGGTCTGCCCCTCAGTTCATAGGGTTTTCACTTTAAACTTGGATGCTGGGTCTGGAGAGAGAGCTCAGTGGTCAAAAGGCTGCTTTTCCAGAGGACCTATGTTCAGTCCCCAGCACACACATGTTGACTCACAACTATCTAACTAGAGTTCCAGGGAGCCCAGTGCTTTCTTCTGCTTCCTTGGGGACTATGTGGTGCAGGCATACATGCAATCAAAACAGCCATGCACATAAAATCAATGTTTTCAGAAGAGATGTTGAATACAGATTTCAAGGGATGCCAGTTTTTTAGAATATAAGTTTAAGCACTTGTTCAGCATGTAGCAGTGATTTATTCTAATCATGGCAATCTGACAGACATGGGTTTTTTTAAGGTGAAAATAAATTTAAAAAATAATACAAGACAAAAAAATATTAAGACATCCTAGAAAAATGGATACAGATTCATAAGAAAAACACAACGTCATCAAACACAAATGGAAAGTGGCTTGCCCCTTGCCTACAGGCTGGTGATGATTGGAAGGTGGCTATCAGTAGTGCTGGTAAACTTAGTAGCAGGTGCTTTCATCAACATCTTTACAATCTCAGTTCCTAGGATTCCATGGAACAATTTGGAAATAGCTAGTAATGAAAATGTTTTTGCTACTTAACAATGGAAGATTTATGCTAAAACCTTTGCATCAGCCTGGCCAAATTATGTATAAAGATTATTTTTAACCTTTTATTTTTTAAAAATATTTTTTTGTGTATATGTGTGTGTGGCACATGCATACAGGAGCTTGTGGAAGTCAGAAAAGGACACTGGATCCCATGGAACTGGAGTTACAGATGGTTGTGAGTCACCATGTGGGTGCTGGGGACTGAACCCGGTTATTCTACAAGAGCACTTAAGTGCTCTTAATCATGAACCATCCAGCCCAACCCATGTTTGCTTTTTATGTATTTTTTAAACACTAAATGTGAATCATTTGGATTAATGTTGGTTTGGCAAGCTAATAATAAACAAAACCAAAATTGTATTTCCTTTGACACAGTTCTACAGATAGAAATCCAACGTACAGATACTGTTGGTAAACAGACACTAAGACAAGCACCTTGGTTTACTCTATAAAGCAAAATGTAAGAAACTTATATGCCTGGGACTATACACTTGGTTGATTATACATTTTATTGCCTAGCAGTAATAGAAATGAGAGGCCCTGAAGTGGGAAGATGATTAACATATTCCAAAGTGAACACAAGTACCTCACATTGTGTTTAAAGCCTATCTGGACAAGATACTGTTCATAGTTCACTTATGCCATGTACCAAAACCCAAGGCCAGGAGCTACACTCACCTCTTTCAGAAGAAACAGGAGACTTACTTCAGTGGGTAATGGAAAACCTAGATAAAAAAGATAGAATATTTTTAGGTGGATAGCTAATTTTCACTTTGTGGTAAGTATAAAAATTAATAACTCACAGTTAGATTTGAAGTTTTGTGCTTTACATACAGGGTCATGGCACTTTTGATACCAAACTTCATTTTTCAGATCAACCAGAATCCTTCATGTATAAAGAAAAGAAAGCATTAATACTCATACTGAATAAAAAATAAAGTTCAGATGTATGCCAGAGATGTGCCCACACCGTAAAAGATGGAAAGAAAATTAAAAAGCTAAAGGGTGAAAGTAAGCATACCTAATCAAAAGAAAACTGGTTGCTAAAAAACACAGGGGCTGAGAAGGATCCATGGGGAAGGGCTTGTCTTGCATGCAAAAGGCTCTGAGTTCAAACCTCAGAACCCACATGAAAACAAGACTAAGGAGCCAGCTCAGTGGGGAAAGCACTTGTTGCCCAAGGATGAAGACCGGAGTTCAGATCCCAAGAACCCGAATAAAAACTGCGGGCACGTCTGTAACCCCGGTGTGGGCATGGGGAACCTGGGAAGAGGTTAATTCAGGAAGATCCTAGGAGCTTGCCAGACAAGCCAACCTAGCCAAAATGAGCTCCAGGTTGAGCTTAGTGGAAGACTTTGCTTGATATTAATTTCCAGTCTGCACATGGATGAGGGCACCTGCATGCACATCTGTATGCACAAATACACAGTAAACACTACACATTTTAAAAGGCCACAGGTGGTGGCACACTCTTGTGATCCCAGTGGTAGATGTGGAAGCAGGCAGATATTTGGGACTCACCGACCAGCCGGCCTTGTCTAATTGGTGAGCCCTAGGCTAGTGAGAGACCCTCTTAAAATTTTGTCTTCTGACACATGTGCACACATCAATATATACACTATACAAATGGACTTCTCTTTGAGCAGGGAAAACAAAAAGTGACATGTTTCTCTAGGAAGATCCAGAAGTTTTCAAGTCATATCCACCAAAATAACAAAGCTTCAAAACGCAAGCAAGAGTGGACAGCATGCAGGGTGTGGTGGTGCACACCTTTAATCCCAACACTCGGAGGCGGAGGCAGGCAGATAGATCTCTGTGAGTTCAAGGCCAGCCTGGTCTACAAAGCAAGTTCCAGGACATCCAGGTCTACACAGAGAAAATACAAACAAAAAACAAGAAGGACAGCACTGTGAGGATGGTAAATCTACTCCGATAAGTACAGTCATCGAGTGTTCAGACACAAACAGAATGTATCTCATTTCCTACCCATGGCTCAGGGACTATTGTAGAAGAGGAGGCAGAAACGGTGTAAGAGCCAGACGTCAAGACCCTGTCTTCTGGACGTAAAGGGGTCATTACACTTGTGAACTAATAGCAGTTGTGGTTGCCTGCACAAAACTTGCACGAGATCAAGCTAGTCAATATTCAATCATGGAGTGGGAAGGGTTCACCAGTCCCCACCCCTAGGGAGGAACTGGGAGGAATAGAGGGAGGGAAAACCATAATCAGGATATATTATGGGAGAAAAAAAATCTATTGTCAACAAAAGGGAAAAAGTACACATTTATTTGTAAAAAGAAAAATATACAATGTATGAACTCAGACTTTTAAAGAAATTCCTTTATAAGAATTTGATAAGGGCTGGAGGGATGGCTCAGAGGTTAAGAGCACGGGCTGCTCTTCCAGATGTCCCGAGTTCAATTCCCAGTAACCACATGGTGGCTCACAACCATCCATTATGAGATCTGGTGCCCTCTTCTGATGTGCAGATATACATGGAAGCAGAATGTTGTTTACATAATAAATAAAATCTTTAAAAAAAAGAATTTGATAAAATCTACAGATAAAATAACCACCAAAAAATCAGTAAAGATGCAGAAAATATGAATAAACAATATTGATGCACTTAACAAACTTGATCTAAAAAAGGCACATATGAAGTAGCTCTTTGTAATCATGTAGAAGACATTAATAAAGACTGGCTTCCATGCTAGCTATACTCCAAGCATCCTCAAATTTGAAAGTTTATTTTGAGGCTGGAGATGACTCAGGATTAGAAAGGGTTTACTGTTCATGCAGAGGACCCAGCTCAGTTGGCTCACAGCTGTCTGTAACTCCAGTTGTAGGGAAACAAAGGCTTTCTGGCCTCTTCATGCACCAGTGACATGCCAAACTCAGCAAACTTCAAAACCAAGCGGAAACCTCAACAATCTTTAATAAAACTAAAACCTGAATTTTTTTGTTTTTTGTTTTTTGCATAGTGTTAAGTCTCCTCCCTACAGAACTGAACCTGGCTCCTCTACAAGAGCAGTAAGTGCTGAGTCTATAGTTTTTCCACCTTATGTTACAAAAGAAGAATCACTAATGACACCTTGGAAATGAAGAAAAAAAAATGCAACAATTAGTAAAAAGCAAAACCTAAAAAGTAAGCAAGGCTGAAATTCGAAGACTAATTAAATTATTGCAAAATTGATTAAAATTGTGCAGTAACCACTGAGTCATCTCGCCAGTCCCCAAACATACAGTTTTGACTGCTTTTGTAAACTGAATTAATCTAGTATACCAAGTATAGCAAAGAATCAGGCTATTCAACATGTTTTTCAGCAAAATCTTCAAGGTCCTTTCCTCATGTCTAACATAAACAAATTATACAAGAGTCCCAGCTTGGACACTAACTACACAACACAGCAAAATTTCTCATGACTGGTAATTTCCCTTTTATCCCTATTCTAACCAAATCCTCATATAACTTAAAATGCTATTTCTGGTTTTACCTTGTACTTTACTTCTTTTGTCCAGGAAAGTTACAAAAACAGGGTCTGGTATACAGAGCTAACTTTTTTTTTTTCAAAGATTTATTTGTTATGTATGCAGCCTTTTGCCTGCATGCATTCCTGCACACCAGAAGAGCTAACTCGCTCTGGAGACCAGGCTGCCTCGAACTCATAGAGATCCGCCTGCCTCTGCCTCCCGAGTGCTGGGCGTGGCCACCAACGCCTGGCCAAGAGCTAACATTCTTAATGGATACAGGTTCCCCCATGCTTTGTCTAGAACAAGGAAACCTCGCCTTAACCTCAGACATCACACTAACTCAAGAGTTTCCTCCTCACTCACATCTGCCCAATTTTACTTCTCTAAGCTGTCAATGATCAATGGCAGACAGGAAGAAAAGGCAATCTGTCCAATTCTATCATCTTTTAAAGTTGATACTGCAAGGGTTATTATCAAGCAAAGTAAAATAAAGCTGGTATGTGCTAAAAATAATCTAACAACTAATAAATTAATTTAACATTATAAAATATTAACCAAATAAGGATATAAATTTATACACTAAAATGATTTTATACTGTCAATATTATTTTAAAATTATAAGTACTTTAGATATATGTTAAAGGCATACAAGTCATTAATAAACAATATTACTTACATAATATTATTACTTTTGTGGGCTCTTCCAATGTTTTCACACCAGCGATATTTACAAATGTCATAAACCAGTAATTCTTCTGGGAAAAAGTAGTTCCAACGCCGAATTCCTGAAATGCAAAGGATGCTGCTCAAGGAACCATTGCTCTGTCATGTGAGAGTTAATAAATAGTAAGCCAAGATTTACCTCCTTTAATGTCATGTTTATTCACCAAAGAAAGAACAAATTGGTCAACTTCAGGATATGGTGAGCAATGGAAACCTTCAAGGGATTCAACTGCAATGGAGAGAAGTATTTACAAATGAGAACAGTTGTACAATAAAGGATACAAGCCCCCCCCCCCCCCCCCGCCTTTTGCAACTTGCCTTACTGTCAGTTCTTGGGCTCTTGCTATGCTACAAGGAAGCAGTTAAGACTAAAACTTAACAGGGGTCAGATGTTGGCTAGTTTTTATAAAAGGCCTGTTTGCTTCAATCAGACAGAGAAATTGGCACAGATCTACAGGCTAAGCCTAGGTGTAGCCTCCAGCTGGCCTGACTCCTACTTCAGCTTTGATGTTTTGCTGGTGCCACAGGCCTTCAGTAGGTAGATAATGAGGTCACTGCCAGGTCACAAGGATTCAGGACAAAACGGTCCTCCCTGTCATCTTGTCTGGACACAAAGGAAACATGAACACCCAAACTACAAACTACAAAAATGCCAAACTCTACTTCTATCCAGGCTAACACAAGCAACTGTAGTGCTTTATCAATTGCAATCCGAAGAAACACAGGAAAATGTTGCCCATGTTTTTAATAGGCTTATAATCATAATTTGTGTGTATCTTATTGTTGTTATAGCAACAGGGAGCTACTGAACCCGGGGCAAGTACTCTATATCACTAAGCTACATCTCTGGTCCCATACTTGTAATTTTAGAACCTACTTTTTCTCTTATCATTATCAATGGGTGTCTTTCACATTATATAGTCTTATAAATCTAAACTTTGTAGTTATAGAGTATGTCATCCAATTTTGTTGTATATTTAGATTGTCTGGAGTTTTTCACTGTTTTAATGATATACCATTATATGTGAATAAAAGTATTTATTTGAGACTTCACATAAGAAACTTTTAAAAAACCTGTATGTTCTTCAGGATGGTCAAAATATGATAAAGTCATATGTGAAACACGTTTGCAGGAGTGCAAGATTCAACAGGAAACTATTGTACTAGTTACCTATAATTAAAAAAAATACATTAATTTAGTTGCATGTGTGTGTGTGCCTGTGAATGTATGCCACTAAGTGTAGAGGTCACGTAAGTTGTGGGAGTCAGTTCTTGGCTTTCACCACATGAGCCACTGGGTTAAATTTGGGTTGTCATGCTTGGTGGCAAGTGCTTGATGAGATTGAGCCATCTCATCAAGCCACCTGTCTTTGAGTATGGACAAAGGGTGAAGGCAGGCTGGAGGGAAGGCTTAGGGTTACTTCTGGCCTATATAGGCCCAGACATGCACATGGTCACAGACAAACATGCAAGCAAAACATTTTAAAAAATACTTTTTTTATAAAATGGGGTGCAAGATCATATAGTGAAATTTTGATGTCTTGTTTTATGTAAACTATTATATATTCTTGAAATACCACAGAATGAAAATCAGATATTTTAATAAATACCTATAAAATTTTTATAGTGTGTCCAACCTAGTTAGAAATCTAGAAGAATTAGTTTTAAAATGATCAGCAGATACAAGTGCTTAAAATTTAAGATTTTTAAACCAAAATAGATTTGAAATTCCCTAAATTTTAATGTGAAGTTGTTTGCTTAAAGTTACCTGAAGTGCCTGTGCTGTTAAAATACTCAGCCCGCTTTCTTTTAGTCTGAGATGTGTCACATGTGAGAATTCGTAAAGTGTCTGAAAATCTAAAGAAAACGTGTAAAAGAAATAAAGTAACATTATGTTAGAATTAAAGTAGCATGACTAGAGAGAGGAAACAGTTCCACTTGGCTTCACTGTTATGGCCCAAAGTTCCAGTCTTTCCTCATAATGATTAGATTATGCCAAAAAACAACAACAACAACAACAACAAAAAACCAAGCAAACAACTTCCTGGAGGCTGGAGAGATGACTCAGCAGTTAAGAGCACTGGCTCCTCTTCCAGGGAACCAGAGTTCAATTCCCAGCACCCATATGACAGCTCATACCTGTCTGTAACTTCCATTTCAGGACTTCTGACACCCTCACAGACATACATATAGGCAAAACACCAATGAAAAAAAGAAACATAAAAAAATAATTTCCTTATCAGTCACTTGGGGATTGTTTAATTTCTTTACAGAGTAATCCAATGATTCTAGGGTAACTGAAATGATTGAAAGTATAATTCTACTCCCAAATACACAGCCCTTTGAACGTTCTGTTAGGATTTGAAAGCTATGAATAAAGGAAGAGCAGAAGGAAAGCACAGGGGTGGGGTGGGGGGACACGTGACCAAAATTCGCACTAACCATGGAGAACTCGGGGGCCTTCCACTCTAGAAGTGCCTGGCATTCATGTGGCTATGTAAAACAAAAAGTGGGTCTTGGGAGGAGAACCACTCGATTCCTTGAGTGCACTGAAACTACACAGGAGTCAGACCAGTGCTACTTCCAAAAGTGTAGATGCTGCCCTTCCAATGAATGCCAGCCACTGTTGCAGACATATTATCTGTATGTTCTAAATTTAACTCAACAACTGCAGAAGGTCATTATTCCCACTTTAAAAGTTTTGGTCTTGGGCCACTAGTGTTGGCACATGCCTTCAATCCCAGCACCCGGGAGGCAGAAGCAGGTAAGATCTCTGAGTTCAAGGCCAGCCTGGTCTACAGAGTGGGTTCCAGGACAGCCAAGTCTGTTTCTTACTTTTGAGAAATATCAAAGGAATACAAACAAAATAGAGATATATGGTGAGGGGGAGTATATCTTCCCATTACACAAAATGTTTCCTAGAGAAACATGCCTTTAATATATATTCCTTTTTGGTTTGCTTTTTGAGACAGGTTTTCTCTGTGTAGCCCTGGCTGTCCTGGAATTTGCTCTGTAGACCAGGCTGCCCTTGAACTCAGAGATCTACTTGCCTCTGTCTCCTAAGAACTGGAATTAAAGTCATGAGCTTAATAGTTCTTCTTAAAGCTAAATTCTATAGAACTTTTTCTTAAGAAGTTTTGGGGAGATGCAGAGGCAGGTAGATTTCTGTGAATTTGAGGCTATCTTGGTTTATATAGCAAATCCCAGGCACACCAGGTTACACATTGAGTCTGTCTGGAAAAAACCAACAAATCCCAAACTAAAACTTTTGATGAAGGTAAAGGGCAAAAACAACATAGCAAGTTAATGTGGTTTAGTCCAGTTGCTAACTACTTTTGTTTGTTTTAGGGTTTTGCCTGTGTTTGTTGGTTTGGGGGCGGGGGCAGGGTGATGAAGGGTTACCACATGGTCTCATGTAGTCTGGCTGGCCTAGAACTTACTATGTAACCAATGATTATCTTGAACTCCTTGTCCTTGCATGTCCACCTCCCAAGTGCTATAATTACAGATAGGTCTGGGTACTAACCACATTCTGAACTGACAAAATTGCCATTCATAGAAACCTAATGTGCAACAACAAACCTGACGATGAAGTATGCCATTATAGTACAAAGCTTATAGCATTAACACTTTACTTATAATTGTTAGCAAACTATTAACTTGGCAAACACTTGTGATATGATGTTAAATAGACAAAAAAAAGTCACATGGCATAACCATATGAGCCATGATCCCAATAAAAACACATTTTCTGGGGCTTGGTGCAGTGGATCAAATATAGGGCTTTGAGTACTCTAGGCAAGTGCTACACCGATGAGCTATACCAAAGGCAAAAAATAGTTTTCTATTAGGGAGCTATGTAAGTTCTAAATGTGTATGTGTATTGTGGAAAGAAACTGAGACAATAGTAATTATACTTTCAAACACAAATGCAATTACCATTATTTTCTACTTTGTAAAGTGACAATTTCAGAATAACTGGAATTTGCCAGGTGTGGTGGCTCATGCCTATAGTCCTAGCTACTCGGGAGGCTGAGACAGGAGGATCACTTGAGTCCAGAAGTTCTGGGCTGTAATGTGCTATGCTGATCGGGTGTCCACACTAAGTTCGGCATCAATATGGTGACCTCCCGGGAGCGGGACCACCAGGTTGCCTACGGAGGGGTGAACCAGCCCAGGTCGGAAATGGAGCAGGTCAAAACTCCCATGCTGATCAGAATAACTGGAATTTTAGAATACATTAACTATAATCATAAAAAGATTTAAGAGGAAATTGAATTGCTAAACATTTGTTGCAATTATTTTTTCAGATATAAAGAAGACTTTTAAAAACTCTTTATCTTAAGGTAGAATCAATATATATGATTCACATGCTAGCAATATACAATGCTATTTACATAAACACATGAAATTAACTCTGCTCTACAGACCTGACATTGCTCACCAGGGAAGACAGGAAATACTGGTTTTCCTCAGAAATATCTTTTGACTGCTTTGGAATAAATCTGTTATCTTCAGCAACCTCCAAAGCCACACATTTTCCTATCTTTGATGATCGATACAGTCGAAAGTTTCTGTTTCTTGTATAAACGCCTACATCAAAAATTAATTTTAAAAATGAATGCATGTTTCCATGATTAGTTTTATGGTCAGAAAATATTATTTTTCTGCAGAACTGCTCGAAAAGACCATGTTCCCATATACAAAATTAAAGCAATATACGAATTAAGAGGATGGAAGGCCCCACGGAGATAGCTAACTAAATGATCTGGAGCAACTCTTCAAAGGAGAGTAAACAGAAGAGTGGGACAAAGTGCCAGAAATAAAGTTTGTGACTGAGAGCTGCCAAAGAACTGTGGCAGAAAACCCCAGAGGAAGGGAGGCACCACGAAAAAAAAGAGTATCTACAACAAACCTAATGAAAGCTGTGTAAGATTTCTATCCAGAAAATTAGACAACATGGCAAGAAATGAGAGAATACTAAATAAATGGGAGACCTGTCATATATCAGTATTAGCCCAACAGATGACAGCCAAAATAAACAATAAACACACCAGAGTCCAAAATACATGCAGAACAGTAGGGAGTGACAGCCTTTTCCAACAAATGTGCTGAGATAACTGGATATCCCCCTCCCAAAAAGGATGAACCTCGACTTCTTCACTTAACTAATGAAAATCCATTCCAAGTGAACTTCAGAACCTAAGTATAGCCCAAGCAGGCATGGGCTTGCATTTTACAAAGGGCACGTATGGCACAGTCGGACAGTGCCCATGTTACTCACCTAAATCTACAAAAAGACATTTTTCTCCCATATTATTCTTCACAACTAAAAATGAAAGATCAGGGATGTATTGCTTAGGTGACCCCGGCTTCTCCCAGGTCTCTAAAATCTCTTGTTTTAATGGTACATCAGAAAAACAGGAAACTTTGTGGTCTGTTGCCTCTGGAATCTTATCGTCATCTTCCTTGGTAATTAAGTGAAGAGCAGGTTGCAAAATTTTTCTCACAAAATTACCTAAGAAGAAAAAGTTTTAAGATTACAATGTAATCTCATTTTCTGTAGACTGTAACTATGTCTAGACATGTATCTACAAACAACAACCTTATACAATAATGCATCTCCCCAGTTATTGCTATAATCTATAATCTGTCTCCTCTGCCACATCCTTTCATTTGTGTAATCTTTTATTTTTTTCAGCACCCATTGGCATGGGAGGGTGTCAGTTGTAAACACACCATTTAGATGTTGCTAGTACAGACCAGAGCCTAACGTGCTGCCAGCAGAAATGTCCACTTTCACTATTACAGATCAGAATGATTTCTAGTCAGTGATCAAAGGATGAGGCATTCATATGAGGACACCAATGCAGAGACAGGGACAGCACACAGAAAGTCTGCCACCCGCCCCTGGAGTTAGCAGGTTGGCAAAGTCTGATAAGTACATCCTCTCTCTTCAGCTTCCATGACATACACCTAGAACTCTCACTTTGAGAGTCCCAACGCTGTTTCCAACCATGCATCTCCCTCACACTGGTCACAAGATGAACTATGGCTTTAGAGCTAATATCTGGAATTAAAGCAATTCATGTATTTTCTATACATGAATGCCCCTTAGGGCTCTATAGACTGCTCTATCTGCACTGTGGAAAATTGGTGAGAAAACTGAACTTCTTCAAATTCACATGTACTATTTCTACCACAAAATCAAGCATTAATTCAACTGTTGAGTTATTTTTTGTTTTTTTAAGATTTTATTTCTTTATTATGTATACAGTGTTCTGCTTGCACATTGCAAATTGGGGCTTATCACTTTATTTGTCAAAAAAGCTGAATCTTTATGTCATAATACACACATGCTTTATATTCAAAAATCTTTCTCTAAACAAGACTTTCCTATGCAAAGAAACAAATAAAATTTCTTTTTCAATTGGCTTTTTTGAGGCAGAGTCTTGCTAAGCAGCCCAGGATGCCCTTGAGCTTGGGGTCATCCTCCCTTAGCCTCCCTAATTCTCAGACTGGAGGCCTGTGTTGGATCTGGATATGGAGGCACATGCATGTTATCCCAGCTCAAAGAAAACAGAGTCAGGAGACAGTGTGAGGCCAGCTAGGGCTACATAGCAAGACTTAGTCAGAAAATAAACAAAACAGGGGCTAGAGAGATGGCTCAGCAGTTGAGAGTGCTTTCTGCTGGTCCAGAGGACTAGAATTAAGTTCTCAGCACCCACTTCAGGCAGCTCACAACTGTTGCAACTCCAGCTCCTGGGGATCTGACACTTTGTTCCAGCCTCAAGGGCTCCTGGCACTCACAGAATCATAGATTCAAAGATACACACTAAAAATAAGTAAACAAATAAAGAAGCATTAGAACATTAAAATGAAAGCAAAAGCATTTGATTCTTGCTGTAAAACAAAGACGTGGTTATTGCTGGAATGAAAAAGAGCAAGTAACAGTGGTTAAGGAGATACAGTGTATCAAAGGACAATGATACAACATAAGCATAAATTGATAGAGTTGACTTTCCTGGAAACTTCAAATTCCATCTACCTGGCCCAGATAATAAGAGCAGTGAGAACTGGATGCAAAAAAAGGTTATGTGGGCAGTACTGAGGCAGCTGGGCCTTTAACCCTTGGCAGGAAGATAACATGGCAGGAGTATGATGGCACTCAGCCAGCCTGAGTATTAGCACTCCAGCTCCCAGCGCACACCCTGCTGTGCCCTGCTCTATCTGTGGCAGAAGTGCACAGTCCAGATAAAGTTCTCTAATCTCTTCCATTTAGCTTAGTTCCTCTTTCTGAAAGCCTAGTAACAGGAACTTAAAGTGTCATAAAGAGGAACACCAAGAAAGGGGAAACAACGGGGAAAAAAGGACTGGTTTGTATTCCCTGAATCGCATTCTGGCTGTAGAGACAGCCTTGGATGACAGCCTGTTGTCAAGTCTGACAGTGCTCTCACTGTGGCTATGCTCTGTGATAATAAAGGCTTTCTTACTCTCATGTGTATGGAGTGACTCTACCCTAATCTCAGACATAATGTGATCTACTTTCAGAAGCCATCTGCAGCAGAGGCGGCTGGTTACTTGCGGCTACCTCCTCTCTCTAACTAGACTCTCAACATGCAGCTGTACATCACAGTCACAGAGCAGAATGATGAGTAAGCAGGAAGCAAAGACAGTTCCCCGGGACTGTTTTCAGGCTCTGCTGTTAATATTCTAAATATTATTAAAAGCAATATTAACATATGCTAAACACTGAAAACAGCAAGTAAAAAACAACAGCCCCTGCCACTAAGAAGCTTTAAGTGGAACTGGGAGACGGTTCCATGTGCAAAGTGTTTGCAGCATCAGCCTGAGGCCCTGAGTTCACATTCCCAGAAACTACAGAAAACACGAAAAAGGCCAAGCATGGCTATGCTATCTGTAACTTTGGTGCTAGGGGCTCAACAGTCAGCCAGCCTAGCTGAAATGGCAATCTTCAGGTGAAGAAGGAGTCCTATCTTAGAACAATAATGTGGGAAAGTAACTGAGGAAAATATCCTCATGTCACCTCTGGCCTCTGCATGTGCCCACAGGGTGAGTGCACCTGCACACATGTGGACATGTTTATGCACATACATGTGCCTGTGCACACTACACAGACTAGAGATAAGAAAAGAGGAAATAACCCTAGGAAGTGGTGAATGATTTCACATAATATCACTGGATGCTACAACCCAGAAGACTAGTGTTTTAAATCTTGGAGCTGGAGTGCAGAACAGTTTCTCAGACGGCCTGAGATGTTCAGAGTCTTGATGGAACATCTGAACTGGAGTTCAGATAGCAGCAACAAAGGTAAGAAGGCCCTAGCACCAGAGAAACATGCTGTGGGGGTACTAAGTTACAGACAGAGTGGAGAGAAGAGGTTAGGGTACAGTGAATCTCACTGTACAAGTGGGTGCAGTTTTCCCTGACGGCAAAGAATGACCTCTGAAGAGTTTGAGGTGCATGGTGCTATAGTCACACTACTCCAGCTAGCTGACCAAATAATTAGGTGAAGACGTACCAAGGTTAAAGACCACACCAACACGCACACTGGATGGTGGTGACTGATGCCACTCACTGACAGACATCACAGGAGAAGGAACAAATTTCTTAGGGAAGAGAGGGAGATTGGGAAGGACATGTTGAGTTGAAATGTCTGAGTGGAATACTGGTGGGATGCTGCTGCAGAAATCTGATGTCTAGAACAATCTGGGCTAAACACAAAGACCCCAGTCATCTATGTGGATGATAATTGAAGCCACGATAGTGGGTAATCAGGAAAGGCGTGGCAGAGTGAAGAAAGGTTCAAGCATCATTGAGATTGCAGTTACTGACACCTAAGGGATGAGAGGAACAGTCAGAGGCCAAACCAACTGACATGGGGAGGTAAGGAGCAAGCACTCTAGTTAGCCATGACCCAGCATGAGCTTTGTGCCAGTCCTTTAGTGACTATGTTCATATTAATTATTCTAGGTGGCTATGAAGTGACGAGACACTTGTAGCTCTGAAATGGGTTGCCTGTTACAAGAACGTTAGCTAACACTCTTTAAGTCTACGGCTACTATTGCTTTGATGAACACTAGGGCTCTGGTTCTCTTTAAACCTGAGATTTAGGTTCCCACTTGGCCTATTTGCAGGTTCTCTGGACTGACTTCAATTTATACCCCAGTCTTCATTTGTCCTAGGGAAAACACTCTGCTTACACTCACAGGTGTGCACCCAGATGTCACTGAAGTACTAAAGTTCTTCCTGGGGCAATAAACCCTTCTTGATATGACCTAGGGTCCAAGCCCCCAAACTAAGGCTAATTTAAGGCTGAAGCAAAGGTCAGAAATACAGATATTAGATACCACAGATAAGCCCACTCGTGACTTATCAGACAACTGAAAAGGAATCTTGTTGAAACAGAAACCTGTATCAGGACATGCAAGGTCATCTCAGTGTGTATGGTAAGAGGCACTAATACCACTGATACCCTGAGCAGGTTAAATTACCTGGAATAGAACAATGGGTCAAGAGGTAAGGCCAATCATGAAAACCCACTGCATCTTTTTAGAACAGGTAAGCAACCATAAATAGGTAGGAAATAACTAGAAAATTTGAAGAGGAGAAGGAAAATATAAGCTTTTAATATAATTGGGTTCTTTTAAAAGGTACTCACCAACATGAGTGTTATCTTTAAACGCCACATCATGGAGCTGAAAGATTAGATGTCGGCTAAATTTTTCTTCAGTGCTGGAATCCAAGTTGATAACATCCTCAACTGAGCAGTGAACATTGTATAACTCCTCAAGTGCTTTACAAACATGCTAAAAATACAAGCACATAATTTACAGTTTTGATTTTAGATTTCTCTATCAGCAATTCAAATACTTTGCTACAAACTGGATGACTTATCAGAACATTTATATTATAGCAGCCTTACCAATTTACCTATAAGCTTAAATACATCGCTTAAAAATATTATATGTTGTAGGGAGCCGTCCCTGCATTCTCCATTACAATGATGGTGCCTGCAGGCACTGAATGTAAATTATTGCGCAGGCGCTGGGTAATTTTCCATTTCCTTGATCTCTGCCTATTCCGTGGCTCATATGGCCTGAGGAGCTAAAGCCCATCATAGGGTGACACGTCCCAGGCAGCGGCTGCCAGCCTTTATTAGGGGACGGGATTCTTGGCTCGGGGTCTCCGCTCTGGTAAGCTTATGCTCTCCTCTCAAGACGCATTAAAGCTTTCCTGCAGAAGGATCCGAATGTCCTGTGTGGTTCTTGCTGGCGAGGCCATAGCGCGGGACATCTGCTGCCGAAACCCGGGAACTTGTTAACATCGCCGGCACCGCGGAGACCCCTCGGATGGGGCGGATTCAGAACTACAGGGTGGTAAATTCGGAGAGGTATGTCTTTTCTGGACTTTGGCTTGGGATTGTTGATCTTTTTCACTGTTGTAGCAATCTTGAAGAAGTCCAGAATTACATGTCAGAAACCGAATGTAGTGAGAGATGGGGCGCGCCCAACAATAAAATATAAGGAAAAAGGACCTCCCGGGATGTCTAATGACAAGGGAGTGAGTAATTTGTTAGATGATTCTGTAAATAAGTTTAAAGCTTTAAATCTTGATAGCTCTGATGACTCTTAAAGCTCAAGAGATAAAGTTGTAGAGAAAACAGCTCAGCTAGGTGAAAAAGAAACAAAAAAGGAGGGAGAGAAAATAGGGGATAACCGGTCACACCCCGGTAAATTTAAGAGACCTGTTAATAACTGGTCTTTGGAGAGGCCCGGATCCTATTCTCATAAGATCCAGGGGAGCTATATGTGTTTTTCCACAGGATGAAGAGAATCCCCTGGGGCTC